GCTGGAAAACCACTTTTTAAGTAATTTTAACTTTAATTGATATGCAGAAGATGTTCATTATTGCTTTTTCTACCATATAAAGCTGTTTTTATTGTTCAAAGGCCTATAAAATATTTGTTGACGCGCACTTAACGACTACTAAAACTTGTTGACGCTTGTTGACGCTTGTTGACGCGCTTTAGTAGGACCCTCATGAAGTCAAAGTTTCGTTGAGGCCTACATGTACCTTGCACAAGCTAAGGTGAGTTACTTCCGAACTATTTCAAATTTTACTAAAAGGAGGGATAGAATGTTGGGTAATCCTTACTTTTTTTAGTACCCCGATCCTATATAGGAAGGGAAAGACTCACCAAAAACAGTTGACTAAATGACACTCAAAAAAGTCAAAGTCAAAATTGACATAGGCCTTAGCTCTACTGAGTGTAGCCCCATAAATGTGGCCTATTTACTGGACTGCCTCCGTTAACATAGGCCACACATCCACATGTACAAAATCGTGTCGACTTTGCCAAATTTTGATTTTCACATTTAGACTTGCTTTTTTGTAGGGTTTTTTTGCTTTAGAACTTAGAACAATAGAAGCATTCTCACCCTCTAGGCTCTATATAGGCTAATCAGAAAGTGCTGCCTTTTCAGATGTCCATTTTTCGTGAAATTTCCAGATACATTTGCACACGTTTGCGTATCAAAATTTCAACATGAAATTTCACAAAAATTAAACATCTGAAAAAGGCAGCACTTTCTGATTAGCCTATATACTAGTAGCTGGAGTTACCCAGCCCTGAGTTTTATCATTGGGTTGTCATCTAGGGCTGGAGCGAGTTTTTCTCGAAAACGATAGTATAGGCAAATAGTTTTGGAAAATGTTCAATTTTGTCCCCGTAACACACTAATTGCAACTGCAACTCACCCCAAACTTGCCTGGAATAACCATTACACAGGTCCTTGAAGTAAAAAACGATCCACGATGAAGATTCAGCCTACAATTGCAGTGAAAACAGGAGGAATAACCGCTAACCTGACAACCTTTCAGGCATGGCCAGGACCGCAATTGGTTTGTGCAAAAAAAAAAATTGTGTACAATGAATGGCAGTCGATTAATAGGCACAGAGAGCGATCGCTGTCAACTACTCGTTTTTACTGGCTGCGCTGGCTGTTGGCGCATGACGTCACGCGGAAGCGTAACACCCGTTGACTGTTTCATGCACTAATATGAGGTTTACCACTCGCATCACAGCTTTGGTACTGGAACCGCAACCAATAGTGCATGAAACAGTTTACGGAGGCAGTCCAGTAAATAGGCCACATTTATGGGGCTATACTGAGTGGAGCGTTGAATTACTGGTACCCCTCCATACAAACGCTCCACCGATTTGCCATACTTTGGTGACGGCGTCACAGTAGCATAGTGCACATACCCACACGAGGACAAAAAGACCCCCCAAAAAACGGTAAAGAGATAGCTGGAGTTACCCTAGCCCCATAAATGTGGCCAGTTTACTGGACTGCCTCCGTAAACATAGGCCACACAGCCGCCATCTTGGAACCTGAGTCGGCGAAATTTTGAAAGTGATTTCCACATTGCGACTTCAGACCCAGTTCATTTATGCTTTAAAAATACACTCACCCTCTTAATAGAGGGTAACACCCGATGACTGTTTCATGCACTATCGGTTGCCGTTCCAGTACCGCCGCTGTGATGCGAGTGGTAAACTTCATATTAGTTCCAAGAAACAGTCATCGGGTGTTACGCTTCCGCGTAACGTCATGTGCCAACAGCCAGCGCAGCCGGCAAAAACGACTAGTACCAGCGCGCTGTGCATGGTAATCGACCGCCATTCATTGTACACAATTTTTCTTTTGTGCACAAACCAATTGCAGTCCTCGCCATGCCTGCAAGGTTGTCAGGTTATGCCAAAAAAAATAAGTCTCCGGTTTCTGGTATGGAGCTTGTCCAAAAAGTGGTGTGGCGACGCGGCTTTTTTTGTTTTTTTACCTGACTTTTTTGCTTCAAATGTCGGCTGATGATTGCAAATGGTGCCCGACTAAACTTAGTGCAAATATATGGGAGTGCAGAGAGGCCATATAAAGCTTATTCTCGATCATAACCCCATCTAAAAACACGTTAAAATTGTGCAGAAGCAGGATTCCAGTCAAACCAGTGAGTTTGGCGGTTTTGAGACATCATCTTTCATTGAAAAAAAAACTTTTTATTTTGCCGACGCGCATGGCTACGGCGACGCGCGCGCATACCAGAAACCGGAGACTTTTTTTTTTGGCCTTAGAGGTTATTCCTCCTTTTTTCACTGCAATTGTAGGCTGAATCTTCATCGTGGATCGTTTTTTACTTCAAGGACCTGTGTAATGGTTATTCCATTTGGGGTGAGTTGCAGTTGCAATTAGTGTGTAACAGGGACAAAATTGAACATTTTTCGCAATTTTTTTTGGGACCTGCCAACGCTGCTGGTTTACGTGAAAAGTGTCCTCCAGCCCTAAATGACAACATATAATGATAAAATTTAGGGTTGGGTAACTCCAGCTAGGATTACCGAATGTTGCAACCTGACGCTGCTTTTTTTCTTCACATATCATCTCAATGAAGGTCAGTCACTGCAAAAATGTAGTCCGAGTAACTACTTGGACCCAACTTAGCCTATTGCCTTTTTACTAGTTTTAGCATTCGGACATGGTCTGGTGATGGGTCCAAGCAAATCCGGGAGTAACTATAGAATGCAGGGCCACGTGAAAGCAAGGTTTTTTTATGTACTTGGAGCCTTGGATCGAGACTGGGGTCAGTGGGCATAAAGTACAATAATATGCAGACGCGCAAAAAGTGCTTAGTACAGCGAATGCACTTGTTTTCTCAAGGAAGATAGGGCACGCTTGTGACGGGGCACTGTCTGGAGGCTCGGAGCCAAGAAGCCTTGGAGGCGCGGAGTCGCGCGCCGGTAGAGGGCGCAATTCTCGGCGGTGGGATATCCATATGAATGATCCAAGGACTACATTTTTCTGAGAACGAAGCATCCATATCAATATTAATGGAGGCTCGGAGCCGCGGAGCTGGGGAGGCGCGGAGTCGCTGAGTCGTGCGCCAGTAGAGGGTGCAATTCTCGGCGGTGGGATATCCATATGAATGATCCTACATGTAGGACTACATTTTGTTTGAGAACGAAGCATCGATATCCATATTAATGGAGGCTTGGAGCCTTGGAGGCGCGGAGTTGCGGAGTCGCGTGCCGGTAGAGGGCGCAAATCTCAGCGGTAGGATATCAATATGAATGATCCTAGGACTACAGGGGAGACGCGAAGCCTTGGAGCCATGGAGGCGCGGAGCCTTGGAGTCGCAGAGTCACGCGCCGGTAGAGGGCGCAATTCTCAGAGGTAGGTCGACTGCGGCTCCACGGCTCCACGCATTCATACGGAGTCGCGGATGTAGAGTGGAGTGGCCCTGTATTCTATAGTTGTGCTCAAATCCATATATGCTGAGCAACACGATTCTGTCATTGACCCAAAAACCCAACATTGCCCAACAAAAACATCAGATTTCACCCTTAAAATGACCTACAAACATGACAAATTACTAGTCCGAGTAACTTGGACTCAACTTATCGCCTTTTTAACATTCGGACATGGTTTGGCGATAGTGGGGTCCAAGCTAATGGTTATATGCCGAACAACACAATTCTGTCATTGACCCAAAAACCCAACATTGCCCAACAAAAACATCAGTTTTTTACTCGCAAAACGGCCTCCAAATTACTAGATACGCCACCTGAGGTCCAAGTGGACATCGATAATTAAGATGGTTGTACTGAAGTTTACTTACGATCCGGATGAAAAGTGAAATTTCATGTTCAATTCCGAGAGCTCCCCTCGCGACCGTGAACACGTTAAATTTCCGACTCGTGTTTGAATTACGATGTGGTCCTCATGCCCAGCGTTCATTCGATGGTCCCCGTATCCCGAGTGCAATTCCGTTACCGAGAGCATGCGATGCAACCGAGCAGGCGCGATGCATCAATTATGATAATGAGCAGACTGGACATGCTGGATCACGTTAGTAAACACAAATGCATTTTGAACGATGAAAGGGAGTCGGGAACTACATGTAGCTTGAACCGGTTTCCGTCCATAAAATCTGCCCTAGTTCCCGACTCCCTATTATCGTTCGAAATGAACATGTATTTACAAACGTGATCCAGTCTACTCATTATCATTATCGATGCATCGCGCCGTAATGGAATCGCACTCAGGATACGGGGACCATAGAATGAATGCTTAGTCTAGGGGCTAGACGTTGATCTTGTTTGCTACGCCGATAACCGGCCACCGTGCTATAAACGGCCACCGCGAGAGGGCGCTATCACGACCAACCAATGTCACCCACGAACCTGTCAGAACAACGTCTAGGGTACTTGCTATTGGTTGTGTAATGCGCGCACATCTGTTTGCCTGATGTATGTAGCGCGCATTATATGTTGCATAATTACCCCAAATACATGCATATTCATAGTCAAATTCCCGGACGTATCATACCACGCCGTATCCCGCGGATTGAATCATGATGTGCAATATGTGTGTATACATGTACATGTAATGGTGCATGTGTACCAAGGTGACCGTTTTTGCCCATTTTCGGCTAACTTTGTCAGAATTTTGTAAAAAAAAACGAGTTTGACAGAAAATTTGAAAGAATGGATTTTTTTTGGGCAGATTTCGGGCAGAATTCTGCAAAAATGGTTGTAAATTTGATTTGATGAGAACAGCAAATTTGAACAAACAATGAACAAATCTGAACAACAAATTTGAACAAAAAATTATACATATTTGTTTAAAAAGCTTCAATCCTTTCAAACAAACCCTGGCATAATGGGACAAGTTGGCTGGTCTAGGCAGAGCTGTAATGACTCAAGTCAATTACTCAACTCGAGTCCGACTCGAGTCACAATTTTTTAATTCATTGCTGTGCATAATTTGTGTATCCTTAATTTGTTGTTCAGTCTTTTGTGAGCCTGTGTGTTAAACTTCTCAATGGCTCGTCCAGCTTCCAAAGAAAGCTTCAAGCAGAGGATTACCAGCATCTTCCGCAGGAAGGAAAGTGCTAACATTCCCAATGTAGCAACCGAGTCCAGATTTGAGGAGTTCCTCATTACTCCAGCTCTACTCAAGGTGTGTCTTTCATCTTTTGTGTTCTAAACGAACCAGAATTGACCCAAAAGAAGTTTGATGTTTTATTTTCATGGATTTGAAAATTTGCGACATCAGTTTTGACATTGCTGTTGTGGGCTTTTTTTATTTTATTTTTTAGGAGATTCACAGGGAGAGTCCGTTCAGTCAAAGGGTCAAAGCAGTAAGAGATCTATGTGAATTGGTGACGACCAAAAGACTGGAAGATGTGAGTTGTCTCTGAGTTTTCGAAACCATTCTTTTTTTGGACCCTTTAATTAAACAGCACAGTTCAAAATCAATGTTATTGAATTGACTTTCCAACATTTTTTTTTTTTTGCTTGTCATACCTTACTGTATGGAAGGCCAGTTTAACATAGACATTCTGTCCAGAATTTTCTATGACGTCATACACCAAGTTTGGTGATCCAGATTAACCAATTTGTACATTTGAACGGTAAGATAAATGCAAATTTGGGTTTTTTTTAAATCCTGTATTGAATATTGTGGCCATTTAAATTAATTTATGTGTTTTTTCCATTATCAGAATGGGATTGAAGCTCTGTGGGCAGCAACAGCAGATTTCCTGGAGCCTCAGGTTCCAATGGAACACAGACACCTCATGTTGACATTTATGAAATGTATCATTGTTGGTCAGGTGAGCACAAAATCAATATTTTCCTTGCCTTGTGCCAACAAAAATCAAATAACACTGAAGTAGCATTGATTTATGACAGAGTGCATATTTGCATTTTTTTTAAATCCTAAATGGGATTAAAGGCATCAACTACGTTAGTCTTTCCGTCGGTTGAAAAACAAATGATCTCATTTGGGAGTCAGGTTGGCGTAGAAGTACCTTTCCTCGCCTTCCATCGCTGTGACGGGGTTCGAATCCTGTCATGGTCCACATGTGGATTGGGTTTTCAGTCCCTACCTGGTTCGGTGGGTTCTCCCCTGAATATTCATCTGGTGTTTTCCTCCCACCTCTAAAACTCTAATTTCTTCTCACTGTCTCCTCTCTACATGGTTCTTCAGGTATGCAAGCTACAGTGCCTGGAGTGCATACATGTATGAGGAATCTTTGGTTCATTACCAGAAATAGATAAATAATTATAATAAATAGTAATAAACAAATAAAATGAGTAAATACTTCTTTCTTTTGTTACTTTCTTGTCTCAAATTTATAGAATGAAAGGCTTGAGCTCATGAGGGCAGTATTCTTCGAGGTTATCAAGAAGCACTCAATCTTTGAAGATCTGCCTCAAAGGTACCACTTACTACAACAAGAGTACAGCTCACACCTGTATTGAGTGAAGATAGAGGGACAGTGTAGGATGATGATACATGTATGTGTACGGGGATTTGGGTAGGGCAAACACTGTATTGAATGAATTTACAGGGTTTCCTGAATCAGTGTTTGTGATCACCAATTTAGATTGGATGTCTTGAAGTCACTCAGCGCCAATGGTAAAAACCTGCTTCACTTTGAGGAGGACATGGGACCATTCCTATTGGCCTGGATGCCTGATGTTATCAGTTATGGCATGTAAGTCCTACACAATGTGATGCATTTGTGTCTCTGTAACTTGGGAAGTAATGCTTGAGTAATAAATTGGAATCCTGACCGAATTTACGGAGCTAGTAAATCAACACACCCCCCCCCCCACCCTCTTGTCTGAGGATCAGACATTCACGTGTGCAGAGCCACGGTTGCAAGTTTGATATATCATAACATGCAAATTTTATGCAACCTCGTGCGCTAGCCAGTCGTAATCAGACTTTAGAAACTGTGACATCATTTCGATCAGAAATATGGACTAAGCTGTTGATTGGTAAAATTGAATGCCATGTTTCTGTAAAACAACGGGTTTCTGAAGACCCGAGAAAGAAGGGGCCCACTGAATTGTCAGAATCTCATGGTCAAGACACTGTCTTGTTTTACATAATTAATCATTGAATCTGCTCGCATATCATAGACCCTTGCCCTGCAAGGGGATATTCCATAGACTAACACCCCGCCCCCCCCCCCCCCCCCCACCCCCACCCCAAAAATAATCCACGGTCTGTTGAAGCATTTTTTTTATGCAAACAAACGGAACTATTATATTCCTACCCACCAGGACTGCTGAGTTTTTAGGTCTTCTTGTCAATGTCTTCAAGTTCAACTCCTGTTACCTTGATGACCACATTGTGTCTGGACTTGTAAGGTATGTCTCAATTGGATTCTCTTTTAGAAGACTCTAGTTGAGCTGCAAAGCCCCAGAATTAGCCAGGCTCAAACATGCTTAGCTGGGCTCAAACATGCTTAGCTGGGCTCAAACATGCTTAGCTGGGCTCAAACATGCTTAGCAGGGCTCAAACGTGCTTAGCTGGGCTCAAACATGCTTAGCTGAGCTCAAACGTGCTTAGCTGGGCTCAAACGTGCTTTGCTGAAAAACCAAACAGGTCACCAGCGAAAGTGTTACTTTTGTAATTCGCTGGCCTTCAACTAACTTATACTTCTTTTGTCAAGAAAAATATCTGCTTGATAGCTCCATGAATTAAGATGCAGTATGACAACAGCAGCAGTTGTATGTACTTGACTTTAGTTTGAAGCCATAACAAGACATTCTCATTTTGTCTCTCAAGGCATACGTGTACAGTGTGTAGTCGTACAGGTCGTGAATATGACATTGAGCAGTCTTTGAAGGTCTTGGAAGCTGTGGTTTGTTATAGCTGTCTACCTACAGATGCACTCTACAACTTTGTGACAGCACTGTGTAGGACGGTTGGAGTGCAGGAATTTGCTCAGGCCAGTTGGAAGGTGTGCTTTTATTGTACAACTATAGTTTTAAAAACCATTGACATTTTTCAAGAAGGGAAATTCTAAATTGGGATCGTGGAGATTAAAGACAAGGACATTTTTCGGGCGCACACATCAAGGTTATCTGTAGACTATTCTGCAGCAGCCATTTTGTGCAGTGGCACCAGGCTCATGCTAGTCGCACTAAGGTAGTATGCATGCACTTCAGGCTCCTGGGACCCAATAGAATACCAATATGCACGCAGGCCTTGTCTTTAAAAACACATGCAGTATGCGCGTGAGCGAGACACCAATGCAGTAACAGCTTCTAATTCTGGTTGCCAGATTCTGCTATTGTTTCAGTTGCTAAAATGAAGAGATACTCAGTGCTATCGCACCAAAACATGACATTTTGATAAATTTGTTTTTGTTTTACAGTTGATGCGAAATCTGTTCGGAACTCATCTAGGTCACAGTGCAATCTATACAATGTGTAGTATCATGGAGAATGGGTGAGATACAGCTTGTTCATCTAAGTTCTTAATGTATTTTCACAAACGGAACTCGAATTATGTCATCTATGCTGGGAGCCATTCCTGTGCACACATTTTTATGTCAAAGGTCATGTTTGGGTCATTAGAGATTATTGTTCAAATCTGCTATAGAATTTGATGGATTTACAAGCAACTTGGGATGGAGTTATCCTTGGGTGGGGGTTCATCACAAGTCTTCAGAAAGTGGAGGTCAAAGATCATCTATTTAAAATGCACAACTGCAACACATGCAATATGCGGATCACTTGTCTGTCTTATCTGTAAATCTGTCTTTCTAGGCATGGATTCTGGATAATCTGTTCTTGAGAAGTAATGTGTGATTTCTTGTTTTTGGCTCATTCTGTGAGTAGTCTAACTTGTCATCATTTGCATTTCAAACCTAAGACTTCCATCTCCTGACTACAGGCAGAACCAAGGCGATGTAATTCTACTCAGAGGAGCAGTGTTCTACGTTGGTATGGCACGTTGGGGATCAATGAGAGTGCAGTCACTCAAACACAACTTCACCTCTGTCCTACCATCATTCCTGAAGGTAACAATCACATTGACTAGCAGGGGAGGAGGTTAGATATTGGCTAGCAGGGGAGGGGTGAGGCATTGACTAGCAGGAGAGGGGGTAAGGTATTGACTAGCATGGGAGGGGTGAGGCATTGACTAGCATGGGAGGGATGAGGCATTGACTAGCAGGGAAGGGGTGAGGCATTGACTAGCAGGGAAGGGGTGAGGCATTGATTAGCAGGGGAGGGGTGAGGCATTGACTAGCAGGGGAGGGGGTGAGGCATTGACTATCAGGGGAGGGGGTAAGGTATTGACTAGCATGGGAGGGTTGAGGTATTGACTATCAGGGGAGGGGGTAAGGTATTGACTAGCAGGGAAGGGGTGAGGCATTGACTAGCAGGGGAGGGGGTGAGGCATTGACTAGCAGGGGAGGGGGTAAGGTATTGACTAGCATGGGAGGGATGAGGTATTGACTATCAGGGGAGGGGGTAAGGTATTGACTAGCAGGGAAGGGGTGAGGCATTGACTAGCAGGGAAGGGGTGAGGCATTGATTAGCAGGGAAGGGGTGAGGCATTGACTAGCGGGGGGGGAGGTGGGGGGTGAGGCATTGACTAGCAGGGGAGGAGGTTAAGTATTGACTAGCATGGGAGGGATGAGGTATTGACTAGCAGGGGAGGGGGTAAGGTATTGACTAGCATGGGAGGGGTGAGGCATTGACTAGCAGGGAAGGGGTGAGGCATTGACTAGCGGGGGAGGGGTGAGGCATTGACTAGCAGGGAAGGGGGTGAGGCATTGACTAGCAGGGAAGGGGTGAGGCATTGACTAGCAGGGAAGGGGTGAGGCATTGACTAGCGGGGGGGAGGGGGGTGAGGCATTGACTAGCGGGGGGGGGGGGGGGGGGTGAGGCATTGACTAGCAGGGAAGGGGGTGACTACAGGCAGAACCAAGGCGATGTAATTCTACTCAGAGGAGCAGTGTTCTACGTTGGTATGGCACGTTGGGGATCAATGAGAGTGCAGTCACTCAAACACAACTTCACCTCTGTCCTACCATCATTCCTGAAGGTAACAATCACATTGACTAGCAGGGGAGGAGGTTAGATATTGGCTAGCAGGGGAGGGGTGAGGCATTGACTAGCAGGGAGGGGGTAAGGTATTGACTAGCAGGGGAGGGGTGAGGCATTGACTAGCAGGGAAGGGGTTGAGGCATTGACTAGCAGGGAAGGGGTGAGGCATTGACTAGCAGGGAAGGGGTGAGGCATTGACTAGCGGGGGGGGGGGGGGGGGGGGGGGGGGGGGGGGGGGGGTGAGGCATTGACTAGCAGGGAAGGGGGTGAGGCATTGACTAGCAGGGAAGGGGTGAGGCATTGACTAGCGGGGGGGGGGGGGGTGAGGCATTGACTAGCAGGGAAGGGGGTGAGGCATTGACTAGCAGGGAAGGGGTGAGGCATTGACTAGCAGGGAAGGGGTGAGGCATTGACTAGCGGGGGGGGGGGGTGAGGCATTGACTAGCAGGGAAGGGGTGAGGCATTGACTAGCAGGGAAGGGGGTGAGGCATTGACTAGCAGGGAAGGGGTGAGGCATTGACTAGCGGGGGGGGGGGGGTGAGGCATTGACTAGCAGGGGAGGGGGTGAGGCATTGACTAGCAGGGGAGGAGGTTAAGTATTGACTAGCATGGGAGGGATGAGGTATTGACTAGCAGGGGAGGGGTGAGGCATTGACTAGCAGGGAAGGGGTGAGGCATTGATTAGCAGGGGAGGGGGTGAGGCATTGACTAGCAGGGGAGGGGGTGAGGCATTGACTAGCAGGGGAGGGGGTGAGGCATTGACTAGCAGGGGAGGAGGTTAAGTATTGACTAGCATGGGAGGGATGAGGTATTGACTAGCAGGGGAGGGGTGAGGTATTGACTAGCAGGGGAGGGGGTAAGGTATTGACTAGCAGGGGAGGGGGTAAGGTATTGACTAGCAGGGGAGGGGGTAAGGTATTGACTAGCAGGGGAGGGGTGAGGCATTGACTAGCAGGGAAGGGGTTGAGGCATTGACTAGCAGGGGAGGGGTGAGGCATTGACTAGCAGGGGAGGGGGTAAGGTATTGACTAGCAGGGGAGAAGGTAAGGTATTGACAAGCAGGGGAAGGGGTGAGGCATTCTATTAAGAGGGGCAGTTTATCACCAGTCCCTAAGGGGCCATTCGGAATAATCAATCTTCATTTGTTTCATCTTTGAAATAGTGGGTAGGTGGGTAAAGAGAAATAACTGAAAATCAAAATTCAATTTTCAATTAAAGTAATAGAAAAAAAAGAAAAAGAAGGCGGCGGCCTCTTCAAGATTGTCTGTCATGTCTGTCATGTTTGTGCTGTTTAGTTTTCATTGGTGAACCTTGTTTCCATAGTCGACCTCCGTGTCTCGATTGTCCACCTACTTCAAACGATAGATTGGTGGGGGGAACGTGTGAGTGACCCTTTTAGCATCTTGGGAAGAGGTTGGGTTTAGCATAAACATTAAGGTAGATTTTAATACAAATTGGTAATGGTCGTTTTTTTTTGTACAACGCACGTAGGCCGATACGGCAGCTCAACAAAGTCCAGAACATAAAGGCATTCACTCAATGGTGAAACAGGCTTGAATTGGAGATTATTAGTGCAGCATGTTCTGCAGCATGTTATGTGCTAGATCCCCTCTGGATCTACAACACTTTCAGACTCTGCAAAAACATTGTACAAAGTTTGGAGTGCTTGGCAATTACTTCTGTTTCAGCTAAAAAGTTGCATGCTGGAAGCCCGGATAGTCCATTGAAAACTCCTGAGCTGGGAGAGCATTGATCCCAAATATCTGTTTCATTTGAGGCTGTTGTTCTTGAGTGTATAGATTACATTGAATAGTCATTCAGCATTTTGGGGTGGGTTGGTGGGTCAAAACATATTCAAAATATAAACCATTGGTTATTCTGAATAGCCACTATGGATCTAAAAATTGGATTTGACCACTTTTTTTCTTGAAGGCTTTACGTTGCAAGCATCCCACAGTAGCATATGAAGTGACTCTTTCCCTTCAGCGATTGGTCAAGAAATATGGCAAGGACATGCAGCCTGTCACTTGGGACATTGTGCTGGACATTATTGAGGACCTCTTCAGAAACATACAGGTAACTTGGATTTGCCTGTGTTTTCCTCAAAATAAATAAAGCAGTCTGAGATATTATAAGTGATCCCATCAGACCTCGAATTAAGAGCCCATATTCAACCAAAATTAGTACATTTCAGCTCAATTTACATTTGTACATTGGGGCTCAACTTATATCAGTAAAAATACTGGCAATGTAACTGGTTATGTTTTATTTTTCGTGAGAGGGAGCCCTAATCCTAATGCCAAAAAGGTTTTAAAAGTTCTGCATAAAAATGGCAGGCTGTTTTCTATTAAAAGATACCTCTGATGTTGAAGATAGATGTGTTGTTTCTTTTAAATAAGATCTATTCTACCCATGAGCTTTTGCCTGATGATCTTCACGATCTGTTGACGACAACCGAGCTGCTTCATGAGAGTAAATCATTCAGTGGTTCTGCTTCCAGGCTGTTTGGTATTGTTGAGGAGTTTGCTAACATTAGACCGGTAAGCCATGATATGTAATCAGTTCTGCCTGTCTGTACTCACTCTGTCTACCACTTTGCTACTTGCATTACTGTTTTTCTCTCATAAAGATGCTATGAGTTGTGTACATTTGATGCACTTTTGGACATGTACACAATTGAGCTTTGCAGGCATTTGATGTGCTGCTTGGTTCTCATGAGTTGGCCAAACTCTGCCCTCAACAATTCCTACACAGAATCAATTCAAGTCGTTTTCCGATTTCTTTCATGAAAAATATTTTGATACCCATGAAAAGATGTGATATACATCTCCCCCCCCCCCAATTTTTTTTCTCACTCTATTAAGTTTATTTTTACAGACAGAATTTATTGTGATGTTTAAATCTGACCTTGCAATGTTTTTGTCAGGAGAGTTCCGTCCTGACATTGGTGTCATTCCGAGCCCAGTCCATCCATCCTACCAAAGTTGATTGGATTCAGAACCTTCAAGGATTGATGGATAGTTATTTCAGAACTGAAGACCGTACAGCAATCAGGGAAGCAGCACTGCGCGTCTTGTCATCAGTTCTCAGCTCCACAAGTCACCTGTATGAGGTACAAGAAAGGCTTAACAATATTAACCTCCATTGACTGGTTTAATAATGATAATAATTTGGGGGCTAATCATCCTTACTCGCAGCTGAACCTGAATTGCTAGGGATGCAGCTACAACGTGGTCAGGGCAAAGGCATGTAAAGGCACCCTAGCCTGTGCCATACATCCCATGTCTGATCTTGAAGCAAAACCAGAAATTGAAAGTCATGTGGGTAGAGGGAGGAAAACCAGAGAGCCTGGAAATAAACCTTGGTGCAGGAGAGGGTCAAGGAACAACTCTACTCAACTCTTTGTTTGACTGCCCCTTGTTATGAGCACATATTCAGAGGACATGGGGCAGTACTGAATGATTTTGTTCATGACCAGCAATTACTGAAGTTTTTTTTCCTTACCTGAATTACTAATAAGTGGCTTCAATGCTGTGTTGACAAGTTGTCTGATTATCTTTTGTACGTTTAGCATGAATTGTTGTAACTGGCTTGTATTTGTTTTCAGGATGACTTGATTGAGATGGTTGTCTTGCCTCAGCTTGGCCACATCTCTGAGGATCCCGACCCTGTCGTCCGTCAAGCTGCTGTTCATCTTTTGATGGACGTGGCTCAAGTTTGCCAAACTCATCGCTGTGTGGACATACTGGACATTATACAGAAGGTGGGTGGTACCAGTGTCCCAAGGGTCATCAACCTTGTCATTGAAGTTATATCTGTCATCATCGTTGTCAATTCCATTACATTGTCGTCTTTTATACATCATTGTCATTGCCATGTCTGTCCTTGTCACCATTGTCATTTTTATCATTACCTTCAATATCACAATCGTGTACATGGCGGGCCAAAGAAATACTATAAGAGCTGAAATTGGCAACAGACTGAAGAATCCATAATAGCCCTCTCTGCAAAAACTGTCTTGCCCATTTCTTTGCATCTTTCAAACTACTCCTTAAGAATATTAAATGACAGAATAACATTGGTTTTTTTTTCGTTCGGAGCATTGGCATCATGACTATGATAGCAGTGTGTGGTCCTTAGACAACGTGGTTTGTAGTTCTTTAAATCCGGAACATCAATTTTCAGGGCATTGTTGAATGCCAGTCACCACAGTATTATCACCTTCATCATCACAATCACCATCATCAACATAATCATCTCACAAGAATCATGAATATCCTGAGTGATTTTTATACTTCTCAACAATTGTACCTTAGGTTGTCATGAGACCCATGCACACCGAAGCAAGTCTTGGTATCACCTTAGAGCCAACTGATACATCCAAGAATCTTGTCCCGCATCAGAGAGTCGCTGAGACAGATGAAGATCTTGTAGATATCAAAGCAGCTGTGCTCAGTCTCATGGAGCTCTTCAGGGTCAGTTGAAATTCAAACCAAACATTTTCAAGCTGTTACTGTGTGACATTACCCGATTTCTCCAAAATATATACTGTTAAAAATTGAGGGATTTGGACTGATATGAAGGATGAATATGAGAATTAATCTATCGCGGGAGAATCGCACAAATGCAGCTTGTGAAATATTGTCCAATTCATGATATACAAATGGACACAGAATGCGCAAAATCTGAGACAAACAAATCTTAACATACAAACTTCCATAGGGTTGTCTAAGAGGCGTGGATAAGCCGCAAATGGAGGTAGGTCAGTTGAATGGAATTAGACAAATTTTCCCAATACGTGGCCAAGTTCGGGCAAGGACCATTAGTCAACTAGTGGTTGATTTGTGACGTACCTTACGCCTGCGCACTGGTAGCAACGTGCGAACGTCTCTAGTCAAACGCTGGTCAAAATGTCATTGCAAACTTGTGGATCCTGGCTCTCTGCTAGCGTTATGAATGCGCGCGGCTATTGGTTACCAGCGAAGCAACCAACCCCAGTAGTCTAGTTCCAAATAGTGGACTAGCGTAGTCAACCATCGTCAACTAGACAGAGTTCGGGCAGATGATAGTTAACCATTGGTCAACTATAGTCTTTGCGCGAACTTGGCGAAACATACAGACACCCTTAATTCTCAACTTCTTCGCATTTTTGGAACTAAGTTTAATTTGTAACTATTTCCTCATTTTAGTCCATCACACAAGGGCCGGTAGTCTGATGAACATGTTTTCTCTTTTCGCTTGATTCCAGTCTAAGTTGTATCGTCTACCATCCAATCATTGTGTTCTTGCTTTTGAGCTGTTAGTGAAGCATATGCAGGCACAGTACCAGCATACATTCAACTCAGTCACAGCTCGGACAATCAGACTCATGGTAAGACCTCAATGTGTTCGTTTGTCAATTAGTCACTCCTGTAAGACTATTGACTGATGTCAATCCAATGGTTAATATATTAGAATAGCTGTAGATATTGACTACACAAATCAAAGTACAAGTGGTCAAACAGTTGTCCAGAGCATACACAGCATATATTTCCTCAATCTGAAATCTAAATGAACCCCTTGTTTCTTTTATTTGTTCTTAATGTGTGTGTTTTTTTTTTGTATTTGCAAATGATTCTTAAAAATTTGGGGGATCCTTGTTTCACAACCAAGTTAATTTGGATGTAAATTGAATTTGTCATGTGCTACATATTTTTCATTTAATGTGACATCGTTTATCATATGTTTATCATTGGACAATCGTTTGAAGCATTTTTTGTGTTATTACAAATAGCATGACTATTTCTCTAGTTGAGAAATTATTCGCACACGGTGTTTCCGCAAACCTTTCATTTATTAGTTCTCCACCATGCAAAGCCTCAAATCTTACTTAGCTCTCTTTGTTTCTTAATATCTCTAGGTATTTGAGTATCTTCTCATGCTTCGTTCAGACAGCATGTATCACATCGGTCTTCCAGACAAAGATGGAAACATCAGATACAGCTCCTACGTCCTCTGTGATTACAAGTAAGGATTGTATTGTAATAATATGGACAGACATGATTATATCTCACCCTCCGTGGCAATGAGGCCAATTCTTATTCCTACTTCCCATCCTATAACCCACAGTCTTTCAAGCACTATGATAAACAAGCTCAATTTTTTCTATCTTACCCCTTCTCTTTTTCCTGTGTCAAGATTCCTTTTGGACTATAAGTGTTTGTCTGCATTTTCTTGGCATTATCTACCCAAACAAACCAAGAGAAACTATGTATACACAGGTTTTTACATCAAGTTCTTCAAGATCTTCATCAAGTTCTTCTTTTGCTTGCATTGTACCTGTGTATTTTAATGGATAATTGTGTATTTTAATGGATATTTGTGTATTTAATTGTTTATTTGGGTACCGGTATTTTAATTTCACTCGTGAATTTAATTGTATCTGGGTAGTTAGATTTTTACGACATTGTGTATGTATACATGTACTGCGCACTTGAACACTAATGTGGAATCTGTGCAATATAAATTAATTATTATTATTATTATTCGATCTACTTTCCATATATGCCAAATTTATTTCACTGCTAATTGGCTTCCTCCAACAGTTGTAAAGGTAGTGCGCTCATTTAAAGTCAACATTGATCTCACTTTATTTATTTACTTCCACCCTAAATTGAATTAAAAACACTCAATTGGTCAGTACTATAGACTTGACTCAAATCGGAATCGTTTTAAGTTGGTATCTGAAAAACCAAAAGAAAAACCAAATCAAAAAAACAAAAATCACAAAAACCACTTCATTTACAGCTTCCCAGAAACACAAAAAGTTACATGTAACATGTGTTCCACTTCAGTGCTTTGTAACAATAATAACAGATTATAAGTTGTTGATGTGTTCTTTCTATGTAGACTTGAGATGGATATCACTGGTAAGACCTCCCCACCTTCAGTTTGTGCATCTCCTCCCATCGTGGAACGTTTCTGTAAGACAACCTTCATTCCCTTTGCTGATGCTTTCAAGGTTATCACGACCTGCTTGAAATATGTAAGTGCTGAACCTTCCTTACTAATGGATAATAGTCCAAGAAAAGGGCCCGTTTTTGTCCCATATGTAACGCCATTTTTTATTTAATTACATAATCATTGCAAAGACTAATTAACATAAACAATTCTTGTGAGTATTCTCCTTGCAGATGCCTAACAGAAGAATATGAAACACTGAAACCTATGAATTTTGTAGAGGGTTTGACTTTCATTATGTATGGGACAGAGTGGTCCTAAATCTATTGAAAAGTGATTCAACTAGGATGTAACATTGTGCACAATATGGTAGTTGCCTGAAGTTATTTGCCTCAGAACACAAATCATAATGAATGTTGGTACATATCTCAAATTTGATCCAACTTGAGATTTCTCTTTCTTCTCTGTCATGTGACCAGGAGACAGACTGGCACGTACTGAACAAGGTGTCACAGAGTTTGGCTAAAGCCCTGCAGAATAGAACGCTGGTCCTAGCATCCAATGCAAACTTGGATTTGCTGTGTTTGACACTCTGCACTATGGTACGTAAATAGTTCCTAATGATTTGCCCATCCCTTCAGCATTGTCCACTTCCCCAGTGTCTAAATGTTCTTGAGTGATGGTGGAAAAACTTCACTTGTGTTGGAAGGCAAAATACAGTTCTAAATGTAAACAGATCAACAGTATAACTGGGTGAGCTGAACGTTGGTGCCCGTCACTTGCCCTTATTGCCTTGATATTGGATAAGAAAAGGGGTAATAGGTAACCAGTGATGAATGCATGCCCCCTGGGCTGCTTAAAAAATAACCCATGTATCCATTGTTGACATATAATTTGTGCTGAAGTTATTAATGTCCAAACAATGTAACCTCTATATTTTTATTGCCATCTTAGGTTGATGATAAAAGTCACATTCGCCGACTGCATCACACACCGCAGACATTCACTAGAGCTGATTTCTATGTTGGAGTGTATCGTGTTCTGACAGCCCTAGTGCCTTACCACACTCAACTTGAGAACAGACGACAGGTGAGGGCAGCCTTGTTAGTGTTCAACTCTTAATTTTAGTTTAGGGATGTATTCAAAATGGCCCTCCTGAGCAATGGCTACATCAATTGTTAGTATTTCTCCAAGTAGTTGTAATTGGGGAAAACCCAAACAATAAAGCTAATGGAAATTAGTATGAAATCAAAGGCTCTGACTTTAGAATTTGAAGGTCCTTGGAAATGTAAGGGTATGTATTGATTATAAATATTTCATTTCTTGGTTTTTAAAGAGTTCTCATGAATTTTTAGCCCCTTCTCTTATAACCTCCTCCCATGCTGAAAATATTGCAGACATTTGGGGAAATATTCCTTCAATTTCTTCCTCTAATGGCCTTTTCAAAGCCTGGCTACTATTCTGCATATTATTTAAGATACCCTATCAAAGTGGTGACAGGGATATTTTCTGTGTTGCTAACAGTTGTGTATGATTTGTTTTGATCTGTGGATTTCAGGTTGACCTTATCAAATGTCTGGAGGCTGGGCTGAAGCTGAAGTGTGCCCAACAATGCGTAGATGGGCTAACGCTGTGCGTCATGGAAATGCAAAATACAATGGTCAAAATACTGCCCTCTATCATCCTGGAGATGTCTAAGATGTCAGCCACTCCTAACATGGCCATCCCTGTCTTGGAGTTCCTATCAAGTAAGCTATTAGATGGATGATGGAAGACCGGTCATTAGTCCCTCCTCCCTTATCAATGATTCCTTCTCAGTTGGACTTTCATGACTTGCAGAGTCATTTGGAGTTTGTAAAAAATGGCTGTTATTATGTTTAGGTTTACCAATGTAACTTCCAACTTTGAACACAGCTTTCACTGAATCAATGATTTTGTTTTCTTCGTTTTTTTCCCATGCTGATAGGTTTGATTTGGTTTCCGCATCTATATACCAGTTTTGTAGAGAACCAGTATATGAGCATCTTTGCTGTGGCGTTACACTATACCAACCCCTTCAAGTAAGTTAAAGAACACTCTTGGTTTCTTCCCTCTAAATGATGGTCTTTCTGTCAATTCACTTGTTTCAAATAATTGGTGGACAAATGTTGGTTGTACTAACCTAGATTCCATTAAATAAGCATGTGTGTTATTGTGTGCAGGTGAAACTCAGCTTTGTTGAATGATGTTAAGACAGGATACTAGACCATATGGTTACATTTGTCTTGTTGGTATTCTGATAAATGTTTAACAATTGTAGTTTATTTTGCCTTATTTTAAAAGCCGTCTGTGTTGCAACTGACCTTGTTTAATCGTAGTAATCACGTTTTCAATAATGATGACACATTTGTTGTGGTTTTTGGCAGGTTTTCATTGTATGTAGTGTCGCTGGCTCATCACGTCATTGCAATGTGGTTTATCAAATGCCGTTTGGCATTCCGCAGAGAGTTTGTTAATTGTATTACAAGGGTAAGCATGAAGTGACATTTAAACAATTTGTCCGATTCTAAAATGCTTTCACTTGAACATGTATCAAACACTGTATAATCTTCAATCATGACTTTCCAATCTGACCAAATTACAGAGCTTAAATGGCTAAAGTCAGTTACAAATCACTTCTATCATGCAATGTTTGTTTGGATTTAAACATAATAAACATCAGACTGAAACTCTGCAATCTTCTTGCTTAGAGAAGTGTGGTGAATTCATATTTTACAAAGTTGACTCAAAGCTGGATTTTGTAAATTTGTACCACAGATGTTTCAGGAAGTCACACTAGCTTCTCATGAAAAATTGATCAGTTCACAGCTGTACTTTTTGTTTGGCCTTGCCATAATTTTGATTTGTCTTCTTGAATTCATTCTGATTCAGTCTATTATAATAACATTTCTTATTAATCTTGTTTGTAGGGGCTTAGAGCAAGTTCACCTAAGATGTCATTAGACAGTCCGGGACGTGTTAAACTACGTAGAAGCAGCAGCTTGACTGAGAAAACTAGCCAGTAAGTCAACCATCAACTCATCAAGGCATTGTGTGTTAGGATTAAGGGTGGGGGAGATTTTTGATCGAGGTTTTCAAGAAATTATGGTTATGAAAAACAACGCAAACAAAAGTTTGGAAGTTGATGTCTTTATATGAAATTGCTTTATGAAGAAGACAGAATGGTTATTGTAATGTCTACTTCATCCTTAATTTCAGGTTGTCGAAGAAAGATGGTGGTAAATCCCAAGAGAAAACTCAGGAATCTGAGCGTGCGAGTACTGAGATACTGAGTGAGTTACACTCATTACTCACTGAGGGATGTCTTGACATGATGGCTAGATATGCACATTCCAACTGCACTACAGTACCAAAGAGGTGGGTAGATAATTCAGCAGTTTGAACAGATTGGGCGAAGATGAAAACGTAAGGCTCCTAACTTTTATGAACTTTGGGGCATACTTATACATTTTAAAGTTCAATAAGTGAGTTGTCACATGGAAGGAATAAGATGATTAAAAAAACAATTAAAAACCCCAAAAAAATATGTTGAAGTGATATTTCTTCCATATTTAGTACTTCTTTATATATGGCTCAATTCCTTAGGTCCCCTGTCGCAGAATTTCTCCTGGCTGGTGGCCAATCACAGTCCTGGCTGCTTGGCAATAAGATCATCACCATAACAACAAGTGGTGGAAGTTCCAGAATGCAGAAGAACGGGATTTGTGAGAAGTGCCAATCGCTCATCAAACTTGAAACTGGAGAGGATCCAAAGCAGTGCAGCACAGAGAGCTCTACCATCTGGAAGTCAGGGGAATCCAGCAAATCTGTTGATGAGCCTTCTGGGGAGCAGCTGGCTCTGTCCAAGGGGTTTCTCAGAAGGCAACGGTCCAAGTCTGGAGAGAAATCATCAAGGTAAGCCAATGCTCTCTGCTCAGTCTCTCACTTTGAGTTGGAAAGCAAAATGTGTCCTTGGAAAATCAAGCAACGATATTTGATAAATATGTTGTTTTTCTAAATATTCTTTTTCTTTTAGTCATGGGACTACTTCTCCATCCTCATCCCCACTTCCCACTGACAAATCCAAATCCTTTGAGTATAATGCCCCACCAACTCCTGAGAAGTCTGTGTCTGAGACACGAGGATCTCGTGCCAATAGTCCACCGCCTCCCAAGTCTGGAAGAACCAGCGGTGATAGCCACAAGTCTAAGTCTGGAGCAGCAAGTCCTGGTAGTACAGGCCGGGCTGGTTCTCCAGTAGTAGGTGAATTGAAGCCCCAAGCAGAGACATCTAAGGAGTTTATGGAACGAGTTCAAGCATCATTACATGAGAGAGCAGAGTCTTCAGCTGCCAAACTATCCTCACTTAATGTCTATCAGTGCAACTGTTGGTGTCAGGGGTGGGCTGAGGTGAGTAAATGACCCCTCTTAGCTGTTCCCTTTTCATTTTGCATTAGAGAATTAAAACATCCGACCGTAGTATTTTGACTTGAGGTCTCATCAGTCGGTAATTTGAGCAGTTTGCAGGAGATTTTCTATTCTTCTCTTTATTGAGTGAAGTGCCTGTTTACATTACAATTCTCTTTTAAATGCAAGTGAAGGTGTTAGAATTGACGGTACTGTCTGTGTGTGTTCGGAGTGTATGGACAAATACATAACATAGATTAAAGCCTGGTTCATACTTCACGCGAAAGCGAAGCGAAATTCGTGACGTCAACAATACATTCGAAGCGCGTCCACCATTGTTGACGACATGAACTTCGCTTTGCACTAGCTTTCGCGTGAAGTATGAACTGGGCTTAAGGACAGTTTTTGGGAAATAAATTTTGATATTGATGCTTTTGAATTGAAGGTGTACGTGAGACGTCCAACTGGCAACACATCATGGATTATGAGGATTGAGAATGGGGGCGCCCTTCTCCCAACTACGCAGGACTTCCCATTGGCAGATATCTCTTCACTCTTGCTGCGTAATCGAGAGCTGGATTTAGAGATCGATGCCATTGAGTTTGAGGAGGATGATGATGATAAAGATGATACAGAAGAGATGATACTTGAGGGAGATGGCAAGATGGGATCACAGGAGAAGGATGTGGAGCATAGCAACCAATCAGTTGCGAAGCAACAAGGTAAGACTTATGTCTGAAAGTTTTGAATACACTCACTCAAAATAGTTAAATGCTAATATTTTTCTTGACTTAAAATTCGTTCAAGATAATAAACACTTCCAACACTCACGGGGGATCTTTCATTCTCAGACGCCGCTCTCAAACTCTAGAACAATCTTCCCTTTGAACTACAACAGTGTTCTTTATTGCAGTCATTCAAATCATCTCTTTAAGACAAATGTGTTCATCTCACGTTTTTTTTCTTCAGTTTGATACAATTTTAATTGCTTATTGTTGTGGAATGTGCCATGAGCGTCTAATGTGGTGGATACTCCCGCTGTATGTTTTCATTATCATTTATTATTCATGGAAAGGAAACCTTTTATCAAACGTTTGTCTGAACAAAACAGCAAATAAAATAAACAAATACATTCAATCCAGAGAGTTCTCTTGAACAGATAGTATTTGCGCCTGTATAATATGATAAATGTTTGGGGTAATTAAGCACTATTTGGTGGTGGTGTTGTTTCATTTTGTCATGCTAAGCTCTTATTCTTTATTTAATGGCATTAAATGAGACTTAGTGGAATTGCATGGTGGATATGCGGTACCTCAGCATTTTGAACAGTATGCTCCATTCATCATCAGGAGACACCTCATGATGAACATGGCATGCTGTTCAAAACTTCGAGTTAAACCAACTGGTTCTTCTCAGAACCACACAACTCTCTAAGAGATATCATTCACATGGTGTTACCGCAAATTTCCCATTTGTTTAATGGTGTTGTGTGTGTTGTTTTGACTTTGGTGAGTTGTTCATACTAACACAATTTTGTGAGAAATTATCTGTCAAAATGTTATGCAATATTTGGGTGGTTAGTTTTACTAAATGGCACAATTTGTAACATCGGACATATTGTCCCCTGAAGTCCAATTGAATCACATTTTAACCATAAAAGCTTTTCAAATAGTTTCCATATACAATGTACATTTTTCAAATAGTATTTGTTTTCAGTTGCCAACCCATTTTATTAACTCATCTCTGCTTTGATGAGAATGTTTTGAAAAATTGTTTATGATGTGGGTTGAAGGAAAAGAGACAAACGCTGGAAACATTTGGAAATATTTTAAAGAAGGCATGAGCATGAATGTTTACACGAAGAGCAGTACATGAAGTGAACAAGAAATATGTCAGTGGGGTAAGAGAAATACTGATTGTGTGTACAGTTGACATGTATCTGACTGGTCCCGTGCTTTGTTAGGTTTGCTGATCACCGATTTAATGCATGTTGATGTTGCTTTGCTAGCTGTTTTCACTTTGTTTACATATGTACCGGTAGTTGATTTTTTTCCTTTTTGCATGTCTAATGATTGTCTCAGCTAACAACCTTTCCCCTACGACCCCTGACCTTCATGTTAGCGGAGAGTCAGCTGGCATTAATGATGTTGGTGATGAAACTCAGTTCTTCCCTCCAGTAATGGTACCGTTGCCATTTGGTTCGGGGCCTGCCATAGTAGTTGATCCTTCGTTTATCTACCACGGCAGCAGTTTTTCTGATGGTTAGCATTTGCCTCTATTAAGCAGTTCATAAATATAATAGTAAATACTGCAAAAAAGTTGCAAATTTAAACAATTGCGCGAGCAGAAATTGCTAAGCGTAACCAAACACACATGCCCGTAATTTACCCCTACTGATTGCACAGTGCTCAGACAAAGCATGATTCATTCAAATACATGTAGCCTGCTTGCTCCCATGCATACAAGCACTGTGGGGCAGTGTAACATTGTCACACAACAATTTCCACTCATGTAATCATTTAACTTTGCAACTTTAACAACTACATGTACATCATTTTTCATAAACCGTCATCAGTCTTTGATGATTAACAGTCTTTGGTAGAAAATGGGTATTAAAATGTAGGTAACAAATTCCCCATGGGTCTATATAAATGACATCATCATAAGACGATCAGATTCAAAATTACGACCCCTCCAATGAGCGTGGACTTTCGTTTTTTGCGGCGTTTATTTGATCTGTTCTTGGGCACAAAACTCAGAATTATACTTGAACATGGCTATGTAGTGGTACATTTACAATGTGCTGAAGTGACCCCATAGTAATGTGCTTATTTTCATGGCTAGAGGAGCACCTTGCACGGGCAACCACATGCTCATTTTTCACTTTCGCAAAATGGCCAAAATATAAGATCATGTTTGCAGAGCAACATACATGTAGGCCACATCCAAATGTCACGTCTTCAGCCATTGTCTTAGTATTCACTCATTACAGGTACATATACATGGCAATAAGCTGACAATGGACATTTCTATATTTTCCTTTTAGTTTTTAATTTGTTTTTATATTATCAACATATATATTTTTTATAATGATTCTTTTTGAGTATATTTGTTTTTATATTTTTAACCCAATCCTGTAATTGGCGGTTTTTTCTGCTGTTGGATGTGGATAATTAATAAAGAAATAAATAAATAGCCTTAGCTCTATTATTCAAAATCGTAAGGGATGGTTGGCAAATTAGTATGTAACTTAAAAAGAAGGTTAATCCAAAAAATAATTGGCTTATATGTAAAGGTTAGCAACTTCAAATATGTCAAAGTGGCCCATCTTTTTAGAGGGAAGTTCATTAGATTTTCATTGATATCGTATTTGTATCTCCTCCATCACAGATGACGGAGGCTCGTGGAGCATCATTGACACTAAACCTCTTTTTCCAAGTTTGCATGATACAGTGGTGAATTGAGCTGTATAGTGACAATCAAAATCTCAACTTTGAAAAACAAATAATCAAGGGAAAGACGCTGACCGTACCTGACGCTGCTTTTTTCTTCATATATCATCTCAATGAATGTCAGTAATTGCAAAAATGATGATAAGACATTGAATCTGGCAATGAGAAACATTTCCAATTTTGTTAGGAAACGCTTAGAAATTGTCTTGATCCTCCATAGACTTTGTGCACAACTGCTGTAGTAGCATCAGGTTGCAACATTCTTTTTCTAATCAGTCCTTACTGGCCTTATTCTTCATGTCTTACCCAAGTACCAAAGGATAAGAAATACATTTATTGCTTAGAGCATTTAACCCACAGAGAGAGAAAGTGGAACCTCTCCATTTCATTGCTTTTTTATTTTACCATCCTATGTGTTCATAGTTTCCTTCCATTTCATTGTTAATCATCTCATCTCATTTCAGTTAGATATTTTTGTCCATGTCTACCCTGATCATCAGCCAGGATTGGTCTCTCTAAATCTGCATAATCAATTGCGAAGTTTAACAATGTCAGAGGCCAGAGTTTCTAATGTATATTGTTTGAGCCATTAACAGTGTTTTGACATCAAATCTCAGTTTATTGTTAAGCTTAAATGATTGACAGCAATGACAAAATCTGTCTTTGTTTCATTCATTTCATGACCCATTTTGTTCTCAGATGGTGATGAGGATTTCAAGTTTTCCAAGCCCAAGCTAGGTCAATCTCCTCAAGTGCACCATGGAATATCCTACTTCCCAGGATACACTGCAGCACACACAGATACTGAAGACCAGGTCAGGAAACCAACCAACAAACAATCCATCCATCTCTTCACTGTTTAGTCAGGGTGGTGATGGGCCCAGTAAGCATTGGCTGCTAACATTTGGCAGGGCAGTGTTGGCTCATTTTGATTGTGTAGTTCACTGAATGAATGTCAACAGCTTTCATTGTTATGAATAAATTATATACCAAACTTACACAAACACTGCTGATCCGTTGCCAGTTTTGTGCTTTCCCATTATCAGAACCTCACAAAGTCTCAGAGAGATCAGTTACATGGTGCAACTGTAAACATACTCTTATTTCTCTCTTCACCACGTAAACCTTCAAATCTTACCATAATTCCTTTGGTTTCAGAGTGTCGACATGGCAACAGTCATTGAAGATGCAACCACTGATCTGGAAAACATCACTGAGTTAGTGGAAGATCCTACAACCGACCGTAGAATCTTTCCACGATCTAGCTCATGTCCAAATATCATGGAGACCTTGACATCAACAGGATCAGCGGAAGCAGAGACAGAGGATCCTGATGAGTTGAGCACATCACCAAGGACTGTAGTCAAGAGCTTCCAACAGAAGCAAGCTCCTATCTCTAGCTCCTACAAAGAGATGTCTATACTTGAGCAAAGACTGCTTCTTCAGGACAGCGCTTTTGGGAGTGCATGTAAAGACAGTGATGCTCACCCCACTGTAAACGTCCAAGAAACCACAAATCAAGAAGGTGAATCAAAACTCCAAGATGCTGTGGACTTGATGAATAAAGACTTGCTCCAAACTGAAGTGGTATCAACAGCTGCTGCCACTTCATCAGCAAAGTTTTTAGTGCCACCTGATGATGTCTCACCATATACTCCAGACCAGACTCAACGGCGTGGAGGACAAAAGAAACCAAGACCTGTGTCTTTACCTCCACAAACCAATGGGGAGGAGTTACAAATACATGTAGCTACATCAGATACCAAGAAACAGACTTATGTTGGAGTGGATGCCTTAAAAAGGCAACAGCGAACAGAGCTACATTCGGTGGGACGTCCTAGAGGCCACACAGTAGCTTCCATGGTGTCATCTGCTTCCAATGAGGAATATACAGGAAGAAGACGAAGAACTTCTGAGAACAGACCAAGGGTGATGAACAGAACGGGGCTCAGTCCAAGGTAACACCAACTCCATTCTTCAAGAAATTACTAAACAAGATCACTGAATCACTGAACAAGATCACTGAATCACTGAACAAGATCACTGAATCACTGAATCAAAGAGCAAGATCACTAAATCACCAAACACAATGTGTGTGTGTATTGCAGCAATTCTTTCAATAGGTTATGTAGTTGTATTAATGTGAGATGTTTTGTGGTGGTTAATACAACCCTTGGGATGTTTCTTTGGCAATGACAGCAATGTCCTTGAGATATTTCAGTGGTGTTATTAGTACAAAATAAAATAAAACCACATACAAGGAGTCCTAAAAGAATGTACAGAATTTGTGTAATTTACGAAGAGAAGTTCAGATTCAATTGTAGAATTGATGAGCCCAAACATGTTTTTTTATTGTGTGAAGATGTGTTGGTGTCAAGCCACCTTTTGTAATTTGTTTAGATTTAAGGTCAATCCAGTCTGAAAGCAGTTTGCAGCAGTCCTATTCATTTCTATTTTGATGCTGATAGAACACAAACATGGACTCAAAGTAGGTTTAGTCTATATTTAGAGTTGATTTTCTTATCAAATGATATTATTCATGTGAGTCTTACAAATTCGTAATACGTTTGACTCAGTTTTTTAATTAATGCCTGTTCATCTTTCTTTCCACCTAGTTTTATCTTTCTTCAGATCTACTATTCGCCGATGTTTTCTGATGACACAGAAAGACCAATGGCTCTCCCCTTATCACAGGTGTGTTGCCTGTAGCATTCATTGTAGGGTATTAAAAACAACACCTTAATAAATCTGATCAACAAAAGATGAAATATCGGAACTGCCAGGTGATGCTTCGCCTCGTTGAGTAGAAGATCCATCTTTCAACTCATGCCAATATTATCACTATTGTAGTCATAAACAATCATTATGTGTGTGACATTTACTCTACAAAACTACTCCCTGATGTGTTTAATTTCTCCTTGCTCAAACATTCGGATGTGCAACCAAAATTCATCATTTTATTTGCAGGTGACTCAGCGGGCAGTCAAGGTACTAGACAGAATTCCACCCTATGACACACACAAGATAGGAGTGTTGTACGTAGGATCAGGCCAGGTAGGTAGTTATTGTCTAAGTAGAATTTGCGTACGCTATGTCCCATATGTAACAAAAGTTTTACCCTCTAATCTATTCATGGATTTCAGTGTTTTTTCTACTGCCAGGAGAATAACCATAAGAATTTGTTAGTTATTAGTCTTTGCAATGATTTTGTTATTAAAGGAAACATGGTGTTACGTATGGGACAGAAAGGGGACCTTTTCTTGGACCTACCCTATAGTGCCTAGCATGCTCTGTCCTCTTCCTTTGACAGACTCACGACCAGACAGCCAACTTATCCAGTGTCTATGGTTCAACTCCCTCCCTCTCCCACAGACTAAAAACCAGACAGCCATCTTATCCAATGTCTACCGTTCAACTCCCTCTCCCACAGACTATGACCAGACAGCCATATTATCCGATATCTAAGGTTCAACTCCATCCCTATCCCACAGACTAAAGACCAGACAGCTTAGGCTATTTTATCCAATGTTTGTGGTTCAAATTCCTCCCTCTCCCACAGACTAAAGACCAGACAGCCATCTTATCCATTGTCTATGGTTCAACTCCATATCTATCCCACAGACTAAAGACCAGACATCCATCTTATCCAATGCCTGTGGTTCAACTCCCTCCCTCTCCCACAGACTAATGATCAGACAGCCATCTTATCTAATGCCTGTGGTTCAACTCCCTCCCTCCCCCATAGACTGATGATCAGACAGCCATCTTATCCAATGCCTGTGGTTCAACTCCCTCCCTCTCCCACAGACTGATGATCAGACAGCCATCTTATCCAATGCCTGTGGTTCAATTCCCTCCCTCTCCCACAGACTCCATCTTATCCAATGCCTGTGGTTCAACTCCCTCCCTCTCCCACAGACTATGACCAGACTAATCCAATGTCTATGGTTCAACTCCCTCCCTCTCCCACAGACTATGACCAGACAGCCATCTTATCAAATGTCTATGGTTCAACTCTCTCCTTCTCCCACAGACAAAAGACCAGACAGCCATCTTATCTAATGTCTACGGATCAACTCGTTATGTAGAGTTCCTTCGAGGTCTTGGTAGGTTGATATCACTGAAAGACGTCTCTCCTAACGAGGTGTACACCGGTGGTCTAGATCATCAAGGAAGTGATGGCAAGTTTGCTTACTGGTGGCACGATGATATAATGCAAGGTGAGTCTCGTCAAGATTCCAGGTTAAGAAAGTTGAGAATATTGGCACAAATGTATGGCTTATTTTACAGGGGTTGCCCTTACCTTTTTGTTTGACTGGCCAGCCGGACCAGTTGGCTAGAATTTTGACTGGTCCGCCAGGTTTTGTCTGGTCCGTCTTAACAGCGTGTACCCACCAGTTAATCAGTTTCACATAAGTCATAACAAGACTATAGTCATCAACACCCATGTCATCATGTCACCTGAGCAATAGAGGTCTATTTTCTTCCTCCATGATCTGAAGCCGCAAAAAAAATATATAGTTCTGCCTCAGATTACATGCCTTTTAAAAATAGGGTCGGTCGGTCGGATTTTTTGGGTTTTTTTGGGCCATTTTTTTTTATGCAGTTTGAATGGGGTATTCAATTAGGCATCAGTATGCGAAGTTTTAGCCTGATTTTATTATCATTGCACTATGAAAGCTATACACAAAAAGATGGCCACAAAAAGTGAATAAAACCTACCTTAATTAGGCCAAAAAAAATAGTTCTGCTTCCGATTACATGCCTTTCAAAAATAGGGTCGGTCGGTCGGAAATTCTTCTTTTTTTTTGCCAATTTTTTATGCAGATTGAATGGGGTATTCAATTATATGCGAAGTTTTAGCCTGAACTAGTTTCATTGCACTACGAAAGCTATACACGAAATGGCAACAAAAAGTGAATAAAACGTACCTTTAATTATTGTCAATATATTGACGTTCGATAATTTCAAAAAATAATGGAAAATTCAGGTCGTTCGCACCATATGCACAACGCTAGTCAAGACGCGGGGAGCTGGCCGAAACTCCGAGGTGTGTGATGCGTGCGTGTGTGGCGAGCGGCCCACCATGGGCCGACAGACCCGTTTTTACGGTCAAAAATTTTGGGAAACACACGGCATGTATCACTCCAAATACGAGTAGTGCGATCTCAAAATGAACTGTTGAACACAGAAAATACATACACAGACAAGCTAGATCAATTCTGTAAATTAACTTGCAAAAAATGTTCTTTCTCCATCGGTGTTTTCTTGGCATTTTTACGATGTCAAATCCGACCAGTTGACAGAGCACGTGCCTGGCGCCTGCACAATGCATAGCCATGCTAGCTCTATCGATCACTACTCCTAGAACTATGAGGCTCCACGTAGTGGAGCCTCATAGATTAAGAACCCCGCAAAATTGTTTTCAGCACAAAACACTAATTGAGTACAAAAACGTCCATCAAAATGCAGAAATTTCCAACAGAACCGCTGCACAGTTTGCCCCCAAACTCCGTACTACACCTCATGACATACTCACAAAATATGCGCAGAACAAACATCGCTGGATTTTGTCTTTTTTTTGGCTAAAATGATGAAAAATATGCCCTTTCCGCACTGAGCCAACCTGACACTTGAAACGTGCACGCATAATTATGATCGAGTGATGATTTTCAGTTCGCTCGGAGCGCGCCGCGGGGGGTACGGTACAAGCGAAATGATAGTATGCGCATGCGCACAAGTGCTTGTACCGTACCCCCTGCGGCGCGCTCCGAGCGAACCGAAAATCATCGCTCAATCATATGCGTGCACGTTTCAAGTGTCAGGTTGGCTCAGTGCGGAAAGGGCATATTTTTCATCATTTTAGCCAAAAAAAAGACAAAATCCAGCGATGTATGTCATGAGGTGTGGTGCTGAGTTTGGGGGCAAACTGTGCAGCGGTTATGTGGGAAATTTCTGCATTTTGATGGACGTTTTTGTACTTAATTAGTGTTTTGTGCTGAAAACAATTTTGCGGGGTTCTTAATCTATGAGGCTCCACTACGTGGAGCCTCATAGTTCTAGGAGTAATCGATCGCATAGCCGTGCACAGACTAGTTACCGCATTTTCATCGTGTCTTCTAAATTGGCGCGGCGGGAACCAGTCATCGCCACATTGAGATGGGTTTACGCACATGATTAAAGTCACCGTGACATCGAGTTGCGAAGTAGTCATATCGCGAAGCGAATTTGTAAAAATAACGGAGGTTTCTTTTGAAAAAAATAGCGAATGTAAGTAAGAAACCAAATAAATACAACAAGCATTTTTTCGACGCAGATTTTTTTGGCTGGCCAGCCGGACCACTTGGCAAGGTGTTTCAGCTGGTCCGCCGGCAATTCAACTGGCATTTGGCCAGCGGACCACCGCTAAGGTCGAACCCTGCGTTACCACTTCGTCTCTTTGAAAGGCATGAATAATATCATCTGAATAAGATGAATACTGAATGACATATAATGTATTGCAGATCTCTTCATTATATCATTGTTAACTGCACTGATGTCAATTTTCATTGGATCAAACAGGCAATTTCATGAGTTAAAAATTATCTCGGTAATGAATAAACCTTCAAAACAGGTTTTGATTTTATCTTGAATTTTTTTTTGCAGTAATTTTCCATGTGGCAACTCTGATGCCCAATAAGGAATCAGACCCGACTTGTAACTGCAAGAAACTTCACATTGGTAATGACTTTGTGTCCATTGTGTACAACGAGAGTAAAGAACCATACCAGCTGGGAACAATCAAGGTGAGCACCCATCTGTTGTTTACATGTTTACATGTTTACACCTCACCAATGGCTGCCATTCATTTAAAATTTGTCATTCTTATTGGTAAGTAGTATTTTGATACAACATTGCATTCCAATATTCCAATGTAATTCATTGCTCGTGTTAAATTGTGATTCTGAGTGTGAGTTTTAAGTAGCAATGAGTTGTTGAATTCAATGGGAAGCCTGTACTACAGGGTGAGGGGAAAAAACCGAAACTCATATGTCGGGACTATTGTTTTAGTGAAGCTCTGGGTGTAGCACTTTCAAAATCTAGGATATGAAATCCCAAATTCATAAGCTTTCTTTTAGTACAAGAATCATTCGAATCACTCATGTACTTTTCAAGTTACGGAGTTCTAAACACAACCACCATTTTAAAGTTCTGTCCGCGGATCACAAAAAAAGGTGTGCGTTCTTTCAGCAAAACGAAAACAATTCACACATATTCGCACATATAGCAATTGTCAACCATAAATCTTAGTTTTAAGAAATCCTCACTGTTGTGATACTTCATGAGCACTACTTTGTATGCGCGCCAGCACATTAGGTGAACAGTTCGCCCGCGCTCACTCTTACATTATGTCTGATGAATAAAGCTGCAGTGGCACAGAACCTGAGAATAATCTCCTCTGAGTTCTTCATTGATTCATCTCACTTCATGGTGGCAGCGGTGGTGAAAAAGGCCAGAGAACACCCATCACTCTCAACTAAGCAGAGTAACTGAAAACTACCGGAGAGCAGCAGAAATTGTCTCCGTGACAACAACGTTTCCGCTGTGATCGCCAGTGTGAACTGTACATATCCGTATGTACTCGCCGCGTGCGTAGATTCAGCGCACCACATCACACACTGTATGCCGCACACCCACCGTCGCCTAGCCCACTGCACACAGCACGCAACGTAACTGAAACTCAGCTGCGTGCGTAGCCTAGCCCGGAGTCATCGCCGGACTGAGCCAAGCCTAAGCCATCACTGAGCCAACGCTGAGACGGACCGCTATACCGTGCTGTGGACAGCACGGACAAGAGAAAACCCCTCTCCCCGAGTCGACCATCGGCATCATAGCGACAGAGGACTTTTTCGTCTTTTTCGTGGAGCTGAGTGAAAGCTGATCGAGCTCCGATTTGACGCGACCGCACCGGGACTCGACCGAGCTTACTCGACCCGTACACATACACACGGTCGACCGGTCAGGGACCAGCCCGTCGCACCATCGCGTGACCAAGGCAAGTCACTACAATAACTTTGTCAAAAGTCTGATCTACGGGAGTGATCATCAGCCCCCCCCCCCTCCCCAGCCAGTTCACGTAACAATGTACACCTTTGAATCACCTTCATATTGTTAAACATTGTTTCGCTATCGTGCACACATTCTTGTAGCTGTGCGTATGAACAAATAGTTCCGTGAACATCACATCCCTGTGAACCGCTTCACGCATCTTTACGTCAAGTGTGACCTTTGACCCTATCACTCCGCATCATCGCCGGAACTGTGCGCTTCCCGCTCATCACAGTGAACATTCGCCGTATTCATCCGCCAGTGCCGGAACTGTGCATCAATCATATCTACGGAGGCCTGTACGGGACATCAAGTCAAGTTGGAAAACTGACAGTACATCGCTCATTTCTGTGGAAAAGCAGGACAAACTGTGTTTGGACATTCTTGGAGAAAGGACTGCTCACCAAAAGAACTCTGGACATTTCATATATGAACAATAATATGTGTTTTGACAAATATATTGTTGAATAGTCAAAATTATTATTGAAATAATTATATTGTTGTGATTTATTGTGATCACTAATCGTAGCACTTACCTTTAAGCTACATTGCAGTTGCTACTGTTTACAATTTCGTTTGCTGTAGCATATTGAATTGTATCCCAGAGATTTCTATCCCACAGCCCTGCATCATGGCCAAGTTCCCAGAAATGAACTGGGGTGCCACAGACATCGCAGAAGAGTTTAAGCTTTTTAAACAACGGATGGACCTGAGCTTCAGGGACCAGGAAATCACCGATCCTGCCAAGCGTGCTGTTAAGATACAAATAGCAGTCGGAACTGGAGGCCTCAAAATGATAAATTCTTCAAGCCTATCAGCAGAAGAACAACTGATCCCCAACCAGTTATGGGAGTTGTTCGAGAAGCAGCTACACATCAAAGTGAACTTCCGCATACATCGCCTGGAGCTTATGCGGTATCGCCAGAAACCAGATGAATCCCTGGACAACTTCGTCAACAGATGCCGAGCAAAGGCACATGAATGTAACTTCAGACCAGAGGAAATGACGGAACGCATCATCGAATTAGTGATTGCGTCTACCACATCTGAATCTTTCCAGAAAGATCTTCTAGACAAACCCATTGGTTTTAGCATCGATGACATGCTACAAGAGGGACGGAAGTACGAAGCCATCCTTGCTGGCAAAAAGTGCCTTGAGACGTTGGAGGCGTCACATACAGCTGTCCATGCTTTCCGACCCACTGGCAGAACCTGTGGCAACTGTGGTCTATCCCACCCACCAAGACGGTGTCCTGCCTACCGGGACACATGTAAATCATGTGGTTCCAAGGGCCATTGGGCCAAATTCTGCAGAAAGACCCGAAGCCAGGGTAAACGCAAGGGCAAATCTCCGTCCAGACGTGGCCGCAGCCCATCGCGAGGAAATACAACTCGCAGACCAAGATCCAAAAGTCGATCCAATGCCGGCAAGCAGAAGCCAAATGACACCAACAGAGATGAACAACCCATCCATTCAGCAGAAGCTTCAGAGGAATATGAAACAGTATTCCACACAGTTACTGTCTCGAACCTCTGCATGAGCTCGATAGACAACAACAGGGAGGCATACACAACGCTTGACGTTATCTGCCCCGACCTCATCGGCAAACACCGACTAATCACAAAAGTTGACACTGGAGCCGGAGGAAACACGTTGCCACTCCGTACGATCAAACAGATGTATGGAAGTCGATGGAAGTCTTTCGTCCAGCCTGTGAAGACCAAGCTGACGGCGTACAACGGTACAGAGATTGTATGCCTAGGGTGCATTGAGCTTTTATGCCGCTACAAGACACCGAAGTGGACAAAGAACAGATTCTACGTCGTAGATGTCCCCGGACCAGCCATAGCGGGCCTGCCCATGTGCAGCGAGCTTGAAGTGGTCACCATCCACTCCACTGAATCGTCACCTCAACCCCCTGCATCACCCAAAGAACCAGGAGTGGGTGAACCCCAAAATCTGTCACATGACACCATCAAGTCGGTCCACGACCTCGTGAGGTTGTACCCCAACCAATTTGACACAATTGGAAACTTCAAAGCCAGAGCAACTCTTCATCTAAAGGAGGATGCTAAACCGAGCATTGACGCGCCCAGGAAGTGTAGCATACACCTGAAGCCGAAGCTCAAAATAGAGATCGACAAGATGGAACAGCAAGGTGTAATTAGAAAGGTCACCCATCACACCGACTGGTGTAGTTCGATAACCACGAGCTTGAAACAAGATGGGACACTTAGGGTCTGTCTGGATCCTAAGCGGCTGAACCAGAGCCTCAAGAGATGTCCGCACAAAATACCCACACTGGAGGAACTCAACCCAGCATTTTCTCAAGCCAAATTCTTCTCGAAGCTTGATGCTAAAGCTGGGTATTGGGCCGTCAAGCTCGATGAAGAATCCCAAGAGCTGACCACCTTTCGAACGCCATTTGGCCGGTACTGTTTCCAGCGCCTTCCATTTGGTCTCTCCATCAGCCAAGACATCTTCCAGCAGTGCATGGACGACATCATAGAACAGGTCCCAGGATGCGTCGGCATTGCTGACGATGTTGCTGTATATGGCCGTACTGAGGAAGAACACGATGCCAACCTCCTGAATCTACTTCAAACAGCCAGCCGTGAAGGCTTAGTTTTCAACAGCAACAAATGCCACATCAAGACCAACCAAATCAACTTCTTTGGGTCACTGTACTCCGACACCGGCATCCGGCCGGACCCAGGCAGAATTGAGGACATCCACAGCATTCCAACACCTCAGGACAAGGAAGACCTGCAAAAATTCCTAGGCCTGATCACATACGTCTCTGCATATATCCCTAACCTAGCAGACAAAGCAGCGACCCTCAGGGATCTTCTGAAGAAGAATGTGCCATATCTGTGGCAGGATGACCATCAAGCAGCATTCGAAGCCTTGAAATATTCCATCACCACTGAAGCGTGTCTCCAGTACTACAACCCAGAGATACACACTGTGCTGGAAGTCGACGCATCACAGAAGGGTCTGGGAGCCTGCCTCCTTCAAAACAACAGGCCGATAGCATTTGCGTCGAAGAGTCTTTCCCCGGCACAAGCCAACTACTCTAACATAGAGAGAGAAACACTAGCCCTAGTGTTCGGCATCACCAGGTTCCATAGCTATCTCTTCGGGAAAGAGTTTACACTCCACACTGATCACAAGCCACTTGAGATGATCTGGAAGAAACCCCTCTCGAGTGCACCACCTCGACTGCAACGCTTGCTAATTAAGGTGCAAGGATACAACTTTGACGTACAGTACAGACCAGGGAAAACAATGACGCTATCAGATGCCCTGAGCAGATTGCCAAACCCGACAAAGAGTGATGACATACCCCTAGACAGACTGGTCGGCAGTTTTGATGTCTATGAAGGCCAAGACGCCATGTGCATGGACCTTGTGCATTTTGGGCAGTCTAAGCAAGAGCAACTGCAGAGAGAAACAGCAAGAGACCCTGTACTAAGTGCACTGTGTCAGATAATATACAGTGGCTGGCCAGACTCCGTCAAGGAACTACCTCGAGACCTACGGGTCTACTGGCCATACAGGGATGAGCTTGGTATCTCATGGGGAATAATCTTCAAAGGAAGACAGGTCATCATTCCAGACTCACTTCAGACGGATATCTTACAACAGCTCCATACAGGCCATATGGGTATAGAGAAGACAAGACGTCTAGCCAGAGAGTCGGTCTACTGGCCCAACATCAATCGCCATATTGATGAACTTGTCAAAGCGTGTTCCTACTGCCAGGAATCCCAACCCAAACAGCAAAAGGAACCATTGGAGCCACATCAAGTACCTTCGACCCCCTGGACCAAACTTGGCACTGATCTGTTTGAAATCCACGGAGACAACTATCTACTGATAGTTGACTATCATTCGAAGTACCCTGTCGTTCACAAGTTGAACAGCACAACCAGTGCAGCAGTTGCTGGCATCACCTCACACACATTCAGCCTCCTTGGAGCACCAGCTGAGGTTATGTCAGACAACGGCCCCCAATTCGTAGGGAAACACTACGAAGACATGTGTAACACATGGGGCATCAAGCACACAACTTCGTCTCCACGTTATCCACGTTCAAACGGTTTCGTGGAACGTTCAGTCAGAACCGTCAAGTCAGTGATCAAGAAATGCCAGAAGTCTGGACAAAACGTCGACATAGCACTCTTGAACCTCCGTGCAACCCCTGTGGACTCCAAACTACCGTCACCAGCTGAAATTCTCTTCGGCAGACCGATACAAACTACCTTGCCAAACAACCACCTGCAAGCAAACCCCCAGAAAGCTGAGGATATCAGAGACCAGCTAGAGGCAAGACGACAAAAGATGAAGACCGACCATGATGCCAAACAAGCAGTAAAAGAACTCCCACAACTCTATGTTGGCCAACGAGTGCGAATCCTGGACCAGCAGAACCACACTTGGTTGCCTGGTGAAGTCACAACAGTCTGTAAGGAACCTAGATCATATGAAGTCACCACACCCAATGGACACAGACTACGTCGCAACCGTTCGCACCTACGTGAGATGCCCAGCCAGATGAAATCCCTGGCTACGCCCAAACGAGTTCGATTCGCTGATGAATCACTTCCACTGTCCAACAAGAAGCTAGACACAGAAGCTGTGAAACAAACAGACCGAAACAAAACAGACCGAAACAACACAGATCGAAACAAGTCTCCGACTGTCACTCGCAAAAACAAAATCTGGACGCACAATCCGAAAACCAGCCAGATACACTGAATAATATCACACACCCAGATTATACATAGCAGATACTTCAAACAATTTGGTTCAGAAACGATATTACACATTTAATTTCATATGGAAACAAAAAAATAACCCACACGATTTGAAACAGAACTCAAAGTTTCATATGTTTATTAAACCCGTTTCAGTACATTTATTGTTGTTTAAAGTTAAATTTGTTAACCGTTCAAAAAGGAAGAAAGCAAGAAAGTACCAAAGTCAAATTTCAAAAGAAAGAAAGTACTAAAAGTTCACTTTGTTCACGTTGTTCAAAGTACTAAAGTTCACTTTGTTACTGATTCAAAGTTAAATTTGTTACCGTTCGAAAAGAAGGTGCTAAGACTGTGTGCCACATATTGCAGAGAAACAAAAGTTGTAGTTGTCAGTAAGATATGACCACCAATGTTTCATATGCCTGTCAATTGAAAAGCCATCACTACACATTTCATGTAAATGCTTGCTAATTAAGTAAATTCCAGTTTTATGTGTACACCAATAATTATTCCTGAAATTGTACTTTCAAAAGGGGAGGGATGTTGTGATACTTCATGAGCACTACTTTGTATGCGCGCCAGCACATTAGGTGAACAGTTCGCCCGCGCTCACTCTTACATTATGTCTGATGAATAAAGCTGCAGTGGCACAGAACCTGAGAATAATCTCCTCTGAGTTCTTCATTGATTCATCTCACTTCACTCACGTCAATCACATAGCCTCCAATTAAGTCACAAGTTACTCAAATGCACTTCATCCCTTTTACTGGACTTCTGAATGGAGTGTATTTAACTTTGGACCAGACTTGTAAGGGACTCAATTTGAACACTGCTTGTACTATCTTTGTTTCATTTCAGGGCCAGTTCAACTTTGCAGAGATTGTCATTGAACCACTAGATAGTGAGAGCAATCTGGTCACAGTCCAAGCCAAACAAGGTCAGAGTTCAAGGTTCATACTGAATCATGCGCACCCTAAAGTAAATATGGATGAAATGTTCCAAAGTATGCTGGAGGTTGCATGTTCACATCTCATTTTAGTCAGTTCTCTTAGTTCTGAGTTATTGCTTTCAAAATTAAAGTTCTTAAATGTGCTCAGGTGATGTCAGTTGTTGCTGTAATTATTTCTCACAGTATTACTTAATTACATAAATCCCCCTATTTCAGACTTGGAGGCAATGATTGGAAGCCGTGGTCCGCGGATGATCACCAACAAGAACCTGCCACTGTTAGTGCGTCAGATGGCACTACATGCCAATGTGAGTAGATTGCAGACATGCCGACCTTTCGTGAAATACACATTTTGGTTCAGTTTTGTGTAACAATTGTCCTTGTTTCCTTCTTTCACTAAAGAAGCAGTCTTACCATGGTGAATTTATACTTTATTATATCCAGCGGAGGAATCATGAATTCTAAAACAATTAATGGCCTTTGTAAGGTAATATAATCAATTGTCATTTGGAGATTCAGGATTTTTCGGGGGGGGGGGGGGGGGGGGTGGAGTCAAGTCAAGACCCTTCAAGGGGTGAGGTGTTGCATTCAGTGCATCAAACAACCCAAAATTTTAAAGCGATGAATCAAAGATGAAGCAACATGAGTGAACAGGTTATTGAGGGATCTTCAGAAAATGTACTGTTTGTTGCTTTTTTATAAACAAAAGTGTGTGGGGTGGGGGTTAGGGTCAGGTACCCTGGCCTGACCACCCCCTTGGATCCACCCTTAATCAGTGGCTAAGTGGCGGAATTATCATTCTGAGGCTTTGGAGCACAATAGTCGCCAGCATTGGGTATAAGTGCAGACTAGAAAACAAAAGGTAGCAAAAGAGGAAGTCAGTTATTAAAGATGTGGTTGACATTAGAGAAATGTTTCTCAAAATTTAACGTATTGGGAATATGAATTGCTTTTATATTAATCAGGATCTCTTTATTTGTTTCAATCATGCAGTTGAATGTTCACAAAAAATGTTTGTAATACGTAGTTTTTATTTCCTGAATAGCTTGCTTCTCAAATCTACCAGAGCCAAATGCGAGGCAGCTTGGCTGAAGCTTACACCTCTAATTGGCTGGAAAGATTGCGTCAAATCAAACGTCTTAGAGGCAAAATCTCCCAGGGGGCTCCCTCCAATACGTTAGCAGCAATGGCAGCCACGTCGTCTCTTAGACATCATGAAAGAAGGAAAGGATCTTCGGTGACTCTTGATGACTTCACTGATTATGCTTGAGTGCTGGTCGTGTTGTAATAGTCAATGTCAATGATATGAATTGGTTGTTATTTTATGGACCAGTCTGAGCATGTTGTCAACTCTATCACAATGGTGCCCTTCCATGGCAAAAACATTGTGCTAGCTATTGTTCAGATAGTCTGTCAAGGGCTGATTGCTTGGTAAAATCCCACACACAATGGTTTCATTCAGTGAAGGGGAGTTTGTGCATTTACAGTTATCATATACCCACATTTGTCTATAGTGATTCATTTACAAAAGCATATTCTCTAGTTTTGTCAATTAAAAGCACAGGAGACAAGAAATATCATCAGTGACATTTCACTAATTATACTCCCTAGCAGGATGTGCATTTGGCATGCCTTATACCCCCCCCCCAGTCTGCCTTGATATCACCCCTCCCCCTTTCCTGCCAACTAGATCTGCACCTGGAGCCCACTGATTTACATGTATATGTAACTTTTATGAAGCAATGCCACTTAACATCACTTTAGTCCTGACCAAATTTTGTTGGTAAAATTCAGTGCAGAATTTTAACTGGCACATGTACCTTTCCAAGTGATTCACCAATTTAATCCATTTATGCCGTGCACCGTTAGATTAAAAGACCTTCCCAAAAAAATACATTTGAAGTAAATATCCATTGATTTGAAATAATTAAATTCCCAGTCTGTGCATGTGAATTGTTCAAGTCTTATTCCCAAGGTTTTAGCAAGCCTTACCCTTGTTGGGTCTGTTTAAAGCTCACATTCCATATCACTTACTGTAAGAAACTACAATTCATTAAAAGTAATTAACTTGTAACAAATTTAATTATGTTCAAGAAATTAAAAACTTGTAACAAAGTTAATGTCAAACTGGAATGCTGTTCATATCAATAATTAAAAACATTGATGAATTTGTAACACACGTTTCTTTTAACAAATTGGTAGTTCTAGTGATTGATTGGGGATATATGTTGGTGTGTTTGGTGTTTTTTTCTAATTTAGAAATCTTGTTTGAAAATTTAAAAGACTTTATGTGTAATATGTGATTGAGCAAGAAGAACATTGTCCTGGCAAGTTAATTGGCTTCTCAGTGAGTAAGCCTTTTCATGAATATATATGACAGAATTGTCGGTATAAAATTGGTTAAAGCCTTTCACACCGTACGTCAGTTTTTAATTGCAATCCTTGAAATCTGTTCCATTTTAGTTATTTTTAATGTTCATTGCCACTTATGAGGGCCTTTTGGTACCATTTTGCAAGAACAAAACTGTTACTAGACAGAAACTCGGTTTCACGTGCACTCATTTCAGCATTAAGTGACCTGATTTGCATGGTTTTTTGTTATTGTTCTGCTTTCAGTGTTTCGTTGTATGTCAGTAAATAACACTCGGTGAGACAATAAGAAAACTGTATGTTTCCAATAAGCAGAATTTAGCCCCCCATCCCCCCCCCATCCCCATCCCCCCATCCCCCCCCCCCCATCCCCCCATCCCCCCCATCCCCCCATCCCCCCATCCCCCCCCCCCCCCCCATCCCCCCATCCCCCCCAATCCCCCCCATCCCCCCAATCCTTCCCAATCCCCCCCATCCCCCCAATCCCCCCCATCCCCCCAATCCCCCCCATCCCCCCAATCCCCCATCCCCCCCATCCCCCCAATCCCCCATCCCCCCAATCCCCCCAATCCCATTGCGGATGGGCGCGTGTACGACGTGCACACGCGCCGACTGGCAAAAGACTTACGTTCATGTACTGATTGCATCATTTTCACTGGGCGACATCAATTTGTAGCGGGGGTTTATAGTCCCAACAACCGGAGGGACAACTTTATACAACACTAATTTATAACGTATACATGGGCTAACTTGTCCCAATCCGTCTATGCAATATGCCCGTTCGAAAATGTTAATAAAAGCAAATTATATTCAATAAATGAACACGTTTTGTTTTGTAATTGTGTAGGTATAGTTTGAGGTAATTTTGCTGCGCTCCTATGATAAATGTACACATGGCGGGAAAGTAATAAATGGAGAATTAACTGCACGTAGTGTTCACGACTTGGACGCGTGCCATTCACTCTGTTGAGTGTTGTTGTGGTATTTTGCCATGTGCGTTTATGATATCCTACTACGGAATCGCGCTCTATTCTAACCCACATTCCCGCTCGTATTTTCGCTGATGTTTTGCCCGGGAAGACATATGCATTAGTGCTTGTTCAAGTTGTTTTCGCTGCCTTGCTCTTTGGATTTCATACAGTTTGTTTCGTCAACAGAAAGGTAGGCCCCCTACTTGCTAGGCCTAGTCCATGTTTTGTTTTCAATTTTTCTCAAGTTTCCCAAACTGATTCGTATACTGCCTAGGCCTATGTAGCTGGCTGTAGTTTTGACATTACCGTGCTACAATGTCTAAGCTTTTTACTACGAATAATTAAAGTTATTTTTTAGGAATATTATTTTAACATGTTTGTGGTCGTAATCAGAATATTATGTGGCCAGTTTACTGGACTATTGATCCTACCATAGTGTGAGTAGCCTAGGCCTATAGGCCTACAAACAGTCGTGACAGTTGCTGTAAAACATGTAAAATAAAGATAGTGGATATTTTGCCGGAGGTAATGACGGCAAACTAACGATTACTAAAGGTTTGCCGGCGGCAATCCATATCAACAGAGGGCGCTGTACTCTTTAAAATAGGGCTGAATTATAACATGTATTAAATTCCCACCAAAAGTTGTGTACCACGTTCGGTGTAATGGTTAAGCAAAGGCTCTAGAAAGCGGGATGACTCACGTTCGATTCCGACCGCACCACATTTTTAAGGTTTTTTTTCTCATCCCCAAATAAATACGAATATTCTTCTTTTATTATTTTAACATGTCTCAAACATTTTTTGCAGAGTATTACATTTTCTTTTTCAGATTTGTGGCTCTGGAGGATTTTTTTTTTAAAGGGAAATAAAGTCCGAAATTATAAAATGGTCTGAATCCTATCTTGTGAATACGAGGTAACAACGATAATTTTGGCATGGAGCCAGACTAAAACTTGTCACCGGAAAATGTTGAAGTACAAAAAAACAGTAACTGTGCATGTTCAGTGCATATCCGGCAAACTAACGTTTACTAAAGGTTTGCTGTCTCTGGCAAAATATACACTGCCTAAAATAAAGGCCATGTTACGCCCCAACTATCGCATCGGTCCCATCTGTAGTTCCACAGTTGGGCTGGCCCAACTATAGTTGGGCCTGTCCCAACTATAGTTGGGACGGTCCCAACTGTAAGTTCCACTGTTGGGCTGGCCCATCTATAGTTGGGCCACTCCGATCTTTTTATTTTGCGGTGTCCCAACTATAGTTTACATTGATGTACAACTATAAAACGTTCCCTACAGCTCTGATACACGTCTGACTTTACTGGGGACCACTGAAATTAGCTATTGATGGGGAGAATCTATAGTTGGGCCACCCCAAACTTTTATATTTTGCAGTCCCAACTATAGTGTACATTGTTGTACGATTATAAAACATTCCCTACAACTCTAATACACATCTGACTTTACTTGGGACCAATGAAATTATCTATGGGTGGGGACCATCTGAAGTTGGGCCACTGCAATATTTTTATTTGGCGGTCCCAACTATAGTTTACTTTGATGTACGACTATAAAACATTCCCCACAGCTCTGTTACATGTCCGACTTTACTTGGGACCTTTGACATTAGCTATGGGTGGGGCCCATCTATAGTTGGCCGGCCATGGCAATCTTTAAATTTTGCAAAATGTTGCTGGACAATAAAACCCAGCAGCTGGACAACTCATCCAACTAAAAACTAGGCAGTAGTACCATGTGACCGGCCAGCCTTGCGGCATGCATGCACGATGAATACACGGTGCCAGCGCCGCGGATCATTTAATCCAACAAGATCTATCAAGCATGAAGCATCCGGCGTAACTCCAGTCCTAACTATAGTTGGGCCGACCCAACTGCCGCACTATAGTTGGGACAGTCCCAACTATAGTTGGGACTGATGCGATAGTTGGGGCGTAACAGCCACACTTGCATGACTCTGAACATGTACAAACCAGTGTTGTAGGTCTCGAGACCGGTCTCGGTCTCGAGACCGGTCTCGAGACCACTTTTTGCTGGTCTCGGTCTCGGTCTCGGTCTCGGAAGCTGTGGTCTCGGTCTTGGTCTCGGTCTCGGTCCCCTTTGGTCTCGATATTTTGGCTGGTCTCGGGTCGAGACCGGCAATATTGTAGCTTTTACAGCTCGATCGATTACTTTGTGTTCACTTCGTTCAGTACCGTTGTTATTTAAAACATTTGCTAGCCCGTAGATCAAGCTTGTTATATATCGCGGTCGGTTTGGACTCGCCTGCACGTTGGAAAGTCCCCAAAGTACATGTAAAGCTGCAGCAGTACCAGTTACTGAACGATTTGGAACAAGTTCGGCATTTATCTGTCGAATCGGCCACATAAAGCAAAGTATAAACTTGTACATGTAACAATTTATGCAATAAGTGTCAACCATTTTCGGGGATTGTGTAGTTTAGCCCACACCTGTGGGCGTAATCACTTGCATTTTGTATTCTGATATAAATGAGGTGCTTCAAATTAGTTATATTTTCGACCCCACACAATGTTCTCTTAATTTGGGACAGTATTTTGACAGTATTTTTAAAAGTAAATTTTTCTACCTGATTTTCCAGCTTTGAACTCACACACTCTGTACAAGTTACCACCCACTGTTGCCATGAGAGTGTATGATGAGACCCCATTTTCTGGCTGCTCATTTTAAAGTACCCCATTATTCCTCAAAAATTAAAAATCCCGTTCAGAAAAAATTAAAAATCCATATCTGGCACATTCTGGCTACCACCTCGCAACTTGTGGGTCTACATGTACAAGTCCACATTCTATGACAAAAATTTAAAAATTAATTCAACATTTTCTAGCTCCCATTTTTTAAAATCAAGTACACAAGTCTTGTTAGAAGTTAAGTCCTAAATTTATTTTAGGAAAAAAGAGGCAATGTAAAATTAAAATTGCATCTTTAAATATCCGTTAGAAGTCATAGCTGAACCAAGGGGGTGAATGTGGAGTTTAGGATCCGAGTTCCTATAACAGATGAAACATCTACCCTTAACTTTTTACTTTTGTCACGATTGGGTGTAGACAACATGTCAAGCCCATGTTTCTTAAGTGTAACTACTTTTTGCTCAAGTAAGGTGTCATGTATCAATTTGTCAACACTGCCACTGGTCGAAATTTTGGTCTGTATTCTTTGTGAATAGAAAGGTAAATTTTTCAACTATAATAACGTGTCTTGTTTTTTTAATTTCGACTTTTGTTATTCATTATCAGCGGTCTCGGTCTCGGTCTCGGTCTCGGACCATATTGGTCTCGGTCTCGGTCCGCCTTGAAGGGGCTGGTCTCGGTCTCGGTCTCGGTCTCGAATCTTCAGGTCTCGGTCTTGGTCTCGGTCTCGGACTATCCGGTCTCGACTACAACACTGGTACAAACTACAAAAACACTTTGTCAAACTTTGATTTTCACATTTTTAGGCTTAATAATGGTTTGTAGTTTATTTTGCTTTAGAAGCATACTCACCATCCTCTTTAAAGTGCTGCCTTTTCAGATGTCAATTTTTCGTGAAATTTCATGTTGAAATTTTGATACGCAAACATGTGCTAACGAATCTGGAAATTTCACGAAAAAGAGACATCTGAAAAAGGCAGCACTTTCTGATTAGCCTATTATTAAGAGAGTGAGTATGCATCTAAAGCAAACATATTAACTACAAACTAATACTAAGCCTAAATGTGAAAATCAAAATTTGACAAACATGACAAAGTTCTAGGCCTAGGCCTACATGAGTACATGTTTTTGTAACATGTTCCAAGTGGCCTTTATTTACAGATGTCATATGGAGCAACTTTTGCTACTTGGCACAGCCCCTTACTTTTTGCCCTTTCAAACACGTGTAGCACTGTGTAGCATTTAATTTGTGCACAAGTCAATGGTGTAGCACTTCTTTGCTTCTTGCCGCGGCCCCTTCCTTTTCGCCCTTTCATTTTAGCGTGTAGCACTGAGTAGCATTTAATTTGTGCACAAGTCAATGTTGTAGCACTTTTTAGTGTGTTCAGTGAACACCCTGGTCTGGTTCTTTGACCGAACGGTGGCTCTGCCCATCCCATTCGAATAAATCATCAACATATCATCCAACTTACTATTTCTTGTAGCATGTAGCAGTGCTACAAACACAGACCTTGAATTCATTTGTCTCAAAACTGGCTGGGTATAACAGAGGTAGTCCAGTAAATTGGCCACATTTATGGGCTAGTCTTAATCAACATAGGAACTATAAATATTGTCTTGATTTGTTTACAAATTGTAAAATTGTTATTAGGCCTA